CAATATTTTCACACTTCCCCAATCAATAATGAGGTTCCAAACTTTTTCTTGTATGGTGTAGCTTTATGAAATATGTTGCAAAGAACTCACTTTGATTTCTTGCCTATGGTGGTACTCAATACTCGTCACACAATAAGGAGTTACTTGCCGTATGCATACACTAAGTTATCATCCCATTTTTAGGTATTTCTACTTCATCTTCACCCTCTGGTGGAACTTCTTCAACTAGGCTATGATTATGGAAACTTGAAGCTGTGTCCAAAACCTAAGCATTGGAATCAGTTAATGAGGGAAGGAATGACTTTATGTGGGACTCACCGTGTGCCATCATTGTTTCATTTACAAAACATTGAGATTCTTGTTTGATTTATAGGACAAATTTTTACCATGTTGTAATCAAGAGGTTTATTGTTGTCATTCTACTCTTAGGGCTAATTTGTTGACATAAGATAACTTCCAATATTAGTTGTACGAGCTATGTTATTGCAGGGCGTAAACCGTCAATGAATCATGTAATGGTTGTCATGCTTTGCCCAGTGGGCGTAAAAGGAACTCACTATTCGTGTGGTGACATTGGATAATATATAATACTATTGTATTTGTATGGCATTTGCGATTGTAGTGCGTAAACTGCTTAGTGAATCATGCAATAGTTGTCACACCATGCCAATCATGCCTAGAAAGAAATCACATGAACTCAGTAGGAGGGTGTGAATTGAAAAACAAAAAATATATCAACCAATATAAACATGATTTCAAAAAAATTTGTCCAGTAAAAAATTATCTTAGCATATAAGTATATTAAAACCTACAAATATCCACTAGGATGCAAATAAAATTTAACCATACCATTAAATCAATTAAGTGATTGTAAACTTAAACACCTCCGATGATATACTTGAAGCATTGATCTTGAAACCTACCTTTAAATAATGCATAACTAATAACCTAAAAATCATGAAATAATATGTATGAGTTTGTAAGAGACAAGCTCAATAGGTGAGTTTCACTAAGTATAAAAGACAAGGCGTGAAATATAAACATGATCAATTAGAGGTAAGAATAACAATAAGCTTTATAGTGTGTACTAGATAAAATTTTAGATATAAGAAATATTTAGTAGTGCTTATTATATAGGTACTGTTCAAAAAGAATTTTCTATCCAAATTAATGATCATTGTGTTGAAATGCAAGAGCATCCACTTACAAGGATGCTTTTTTTATACATCGATCAATGGCTCAATCTTTTTTTTTAATATTATATATTTATACTCAATTATATCAAGACACTTTGAAATGGTGATGATAAATACTAACTCATGAAATTTCAATGATCTTTAATAGAGTCATCAATCTATGAACTTTTTGGATCCGGCTATGCAATATCATAAGGTTTTTATCGCTATACTTATCGCATTACACTACATATGTTATAAGAAATCTTAATTATAGTGAGTGTTCTTAATAAAGACTATATTATGATCAGTTTCACTTATAGCTCAACATCATTTATAAATCATATGGGAAATTATTTATTTTCAGTAATCAAATTTATATGTATAAAATTTTCAGATATTTGTGCAATAAGGAACATGTCAAAGCTACATATTACATAATATCAATATGATAATATGGAATATTATAAATAACTAAAGCATATTCCATAGATTATTATCATTAATGAAAATATACAAATAAATAGCAATGAATACATCCATGACAAGAAGAGGTACATTCATCTCTTTTTTACCATAGGAGCACAGAACTAACGAAGATCACAGGGATTCCAACATTTTCAAACAAAAGTTTGTATGCAAGTGCATCGTCTCTATGTGAATCCGACACGATCATCTTTTCTTGCAGAGCTACTCTGGCATGACCTTCTTTTTGCATAAAATCATCTTTGTGTGATTGTCTCTATTAATGCAAGCTTGTTGTTGCATGATTGACTCTGCGCAGGCGCGATCATATGTCTGTATGAGGCTTTTTTCTGCAATCTCTTTTTCTCGGTCATCTCATACATAATGTGGCCTTTTGGTGAACCTTTTTGTGGGTTCTGATTGACGTTGAAGTTGTCTTATGGCATCGACGTGTTATCCGTCCTTGGTACCAAGGGTGGACCACATCACACCGACCTTTGCTTCTCTCTCATTCGATAGACTTTTGGATCTTCTCTTATGTTTGTGATTGTGCTTGATTACTTTTTTTGTCCTCTACTAGGGTTTCTTTCATTTTTGCTATTCTCTCAAAGCAATTTGGTATCACACATTAGCTTACGTTAACTTCTGAAAAGGTCTTTGTGGGGTTACCACCACCTTCCCATGTGACCCTCTGATATCTCTGAAGCTTCTCCTTTATCCTCTTCGGTGGTTGAATCTCATTCATCTTTTGTGAATGTGTTTCGTAGTTCAAATGTAGTAGAAAACTTCTTGTTTCTAAAATACAATCTTTCACTTTTCTTTCATCAAATTTCAACAAAGAAGTCTTTTTTTAGAGGCAAGCCTATTTTTTTCTTTTTCAATGAAGAAACATTTATACTTGCTAGGCCTCTCGCCTTTTCCTTTATTGTCAAATTTTATATGGTAGACTTGGCATGGGATCAATTCACAAATTTTTTTGGTTTATTTAAAATTGATTGTTGACTACTCCATTGGGCTTTTTGACCTTAGACATGACATCTTAACTTTGATTTAGAAGCAAATTACATCAGTTACTTCTCTCAATGCTCATATTATATTAGTCGTTTCCCAATGCATATATTAAAATAGTTCTCTTATTTTGATTACTCTGTGGAGCCTCTTATCACTACTATTAGATCTCATTTTCACTACTTCGCAAGCACGATTTCACTCAATCAATCTTATTAGCGTGTTTCATAAAGAGATGTGTATTGGATCTCAATCTTGAAGATATTGCCACAAAGGGGAATTTAAAATATTCCCTCATGAATTTTTTTGTCATATTTTCGGACATAATTTTTTTTGTAACTTTATCCTGAGCCGAGGTTTTTGAAATTTTAGTCGTAGACATTTCCATCTGATCAGATTGACCATTCTACTTGTTTGGTGGAAGACATTTCATCTAATCAGACCTATTCTCAAAATCTAGAGCCTTGATCATTGACTGATATTTTTGCTCTTGCTAATCCCTTGATTTTAAACTCTTCATCAATTGTTGATATTATCACTGAGAATATTCTGTAAATAATTGAAATGTCACAATTTCATCGAAGTTGCGAATATAATGATGATTATTAACCACAACAAGATTTTGATTCTGATTGGAGTATTCAAAGTGTTGTCTATTTGATACAACAATAACGACAACAACTATTCTTAATCTCACTAAGTGGATAAAGGATAAAAGATTTTATTTTCTTTATACAAAAATGGATAGAAATCACAAGAAAATTTATTACTGCTCTCAAATGTTCATTACACTTCAACTAGGCAATTCAAATGACTTTTTTATCTTATATTGTCTTGCTGAATTTCTCTTTCTACTGAGTATAAAACTTAAAAAAAGGAATATATCTTGTGAGTATATCCTGTTGAATTCCTCATTTCAAGCTAGGCAATCCATATATTCCATTTTAAAGTTTTATACTCGTAAAATATATTTAAATATTGACAATAGAACATATGTTGAGTTCTAGCTTGAAACAATCTGTTTGAATGCATATGTTTATATGGAGACCAATCTGTTTGATTGCATTGAAGATGGAGACCAACGACACGATGTCGTGCAGGTCTAGCTTGAAATGCACTGCAAATATAAAAATCATCTAATTATCATTCATTCCATAAAATGTATTTTGCCAACACAACCAAAATGTCAAAATGTTTAATAAAATTTTCTGTATTCTTTGCTTTTTTACTTTTTGCTCTATTTTTGTGCTAGAAGAATGTAGCCATTATCAACTTATAGTAATATTGGATAGATGAAAATGTGTGTTTGTTCCATTGTACCATGGTTTCAAGACAGAAACTAAGTTTTGTGGATTTTAGATGCATGAATTCCTAACATACCTTCTATTGCATTTAAATATAAGACTGAAGGTAATATCACTTGAGTTCTCTGTTGAACTCCACAATAAAGATTGTCATTTCCAATTGTATCATATGGTATTCTGCTATTCTTTTTATAATTTAAGTAAAATGTGAAGAAATTATGCTTGATATTAGGTTATAATTCTTGTTAAGGTGCTTATCGTAAATCTCATAATATTTTTTATTCTATAATCATGACTTGATTTCAAAACTTAACAAGCATCTTACGAATATATGAGCAGTAATTTTGGCAAATATGAAAATGTTTTCTTTGAGATCATGGAGATTGTGTTGGTAAATTAATTTATCAATACACCTACCTTTAAGTTCATGAGCTTTTTAGGATGTCAAAGTTTATGTGAGTGGTAATACAAAAAGTGACTTGGGATTTTAGTAATTCATTGATATTACTCATGAGTAAAAAATGCCAATCAGAAAGCTAGAGTGAACCTAAATCGAGTGATTAACAACTGATTGAGGAATTATTATGTTAGAATAATTTGGCAGCGCTTTAACCCTTATTTTTACCGAAATTGTTAAGCCAAAGTTGTGTCAGCAGCTTCCTATCTTGTCAAGATGGTGTTGATATTGGGCAAAACATGCTATAATGTTCCCTGGTTAAAATAAGGGGAAAAAAGAATATTAACAAGAATTACATAGGAAAAAATGACTTTAAAGGTATTTTTGGAATCAGTGCAACATATGACTAATCAATTAAATCTATTATTGCACTCATCTCAAAATTAATGTTTTAAAAGCCTATTAAGTATTATGCTGCCCCAAATTTTCTCCATTCTGTTGGGGCATGAAGGAAACTAGGGGTAGCTGTTTGGATATATCCATATATTTATTATCTGATATCTATTAAAAAAAGTTAATATTTATTACACATGTTGGTATTTTGTCATCAGCATATATCAATAAACTTACTTTTGGTGCATACAACTGCAGGCCGTTCTCCATTGAATTTCAGGTTTCTATTGTAATTAGTTTTCAGTCCGAGCTATCCAAGTTATATTCAAAATTTGATCTCCAAACTCCAAGACAATGGGTGAGCAAGTTCATCTTATTTTGTTTCCTAGGGATTAATTTTATATTTGTTTTTATACTTATATAAACATTCCCTTTATTTAGTTGGCTTCATTGACATTGCCACTAAGAGTTTTCAGATCAACTTGAGCTATTTACAGTGCTACCACTTTATAAACTGAAACACTGGTTCTCGAAATTGGTACTCATTTCTTTATACTTAAACATCATTTTCTGAAATATGTAGAAGAAATTTGCATCATTAATTTATGTTGTATTTTATTTTTAGTTTTTTGTACAGTATCTGAATGCAATGCAAATACTATGCCTTAAAGAAAACATTTTTTTTCCAAATTATTGTAAAAGATATTACTATATGTCCTAGTTGCTTTTCATTTTGTACCATTTTTCTTAGAAAAATTTTCAGCGCCTATGTATTGATGTAGGAGGCATTTGATTTTGGGAATTTCATAGCTCTCAAAATATTTAGGGTCATTACATGCATAGCACACAATTCTTATGTATTTACATATCCCGCATCGAAACTTTATTGATTTTTATACTATAGTATTTAAATCTTTAATATCACATAAAAAATAACACTGAAATACACATTTTCATGCATAGGTTTAAAGCACCAAAGTGCTATGTAATTATTGAAGTTTAGGTGTGATATATATAAATATATAAGAATTAAGTGCTATGTATGTAAATTTCCCAAATTTTTTATCAAGTTGATTGACATTGAACTTGTGGGTTTTAAAGATAGGCTTGCTAGCATAACAATATGTTTTTGTTTGAATAATGTCAGGCATGCGATTTGTTATTCCCAAACAATTCACTAATATTAAATCCCTTCACATTTCATCTTTTCAGTTACAATTCAACCAAAATAGCTAGGTAAGTTCTGCAAAATGCAACTTTGGTATAACAATAAGTGCCGACTTCTTGTGAATTGTTAGTCCTGCAATTTCGCTCATATCCAATACTTCATCCTTCGATTCTTCCGGAACCTCCCAGTCGAAAACTTGCAACAACTTCGCGAGGGTGCATTCTATAACGGCAATTGCGAAGCCTATCCCCGGGCAGGCTCTTCTCCCTGCTCCAAACGGTGTAAGCTGGAAGTGTTGTCCTCTAAAATCAACATTACTATTTATGAATCTATCAGGCCGAAATTCATCTGGCGTGTCCCAATAATTAGGATCTCTAGCGATTCCCCATGCATTAATTATGATTCTTGTTCCAACAGGAATGTCATAGCCTTTTAACTGAGTGTCTTCTGTTGTGAGTCTGGGAACTAGCAGAGCAACTGGAACGTGCAATCTTAGAGTCTCTTTGATAGTTGCTTTTAGGTAAGTTAATTTATCTATATCTTCCTCTTCAATAACCTGTTTAGATCCAAGAGTCTCTCTTATCTCCCTTTGAACCTTTTGGATCAATATGGGGTGCTTGATGAGCTCTGCCATGACCCATTCTAAAGTGGTGATTGTTGTGTCTGTGCCAGCAGCAAACATTTCCTAACATAATTTATTAGAAGAAAAAAAATTTAGGATATCATGTTTGTTTATTTTCATGTTTATATATGAAAATAATACTATACATGCATGCATGCATATATATATATATATATATATAGACACACACACACATATGTATAGTATTATTTTCATGATTCAAAGCCTTGGTGTTTACTTTGAGATTTGTGCTCTACATTCATGTGATTATTACAAGGTCATCGTCACCTTTAGAGGCAAATTCTTCAGAAAATTCTAGAATGATTGTCTATTGTTGATAAATCTTTTCAGGTGTAAATGTTAAATACTTACTAGAATTAGAGCTTTAATATGCTCTTTACCAAGGGGGATGTCAGCATCTTCGGAACCATGTTCGTCTTTAACTGATAACAACACATCCACCAAGTCCTCACATTCTTTGCTGCTCCCAATTGCATTTGAACTCTTTTTTCTACTCAGATGCTCCTCCAAAACCCGCTCCAAAAACTGATCCAACTCCCTCGAAGTCCTCCTCGCTCTTCCCTCCAACCCAATCACCCTATCCACCCAACCCAGCCAAGGAATAAAATCGGCCATTGGAAAGCTCCCCAACAACCTCTGAAACTCATCCAACATCTCTCGAAATCTCGTCTCCCCAGAGTACTTCCTCCCCAACGCCACCCTGCATATGATATCATTCGTGAGAACCCCCAACCTCTTGCTCAAGTTCACCGCCTCCGCCGCCGCTGAAGCAGTGCGAATCTCTTCAATTAGGAGATCTATTTCCTCCTGTCGCACGCGCTTGTACGATTGCACGCGCCTGCTGCTCAGCAGATGGACGATGGATATTTTCTTCATCATCCTCCAATAGTCATTGTAAGGCGAGAAGGCGATATCCGTGCTATTGTAGAGCAGATGGTTGGCCATGGACGATGGTGGACGGCTGGCGAAGATGAGGTCTTGAGTCTTCATAACTTGTTCCGCTAGTTCTGCGGAGGAGATGACGACGGTGGGGGCGACGATGCCTAATCGGAGAAGGATGAGAGGGCCATATTGTTTAGAAAGGGAGTTGAGGGATCGGTGAGGAAATGAGCCGAGTTGGTGAAGGTTTCCCAACAGTGGGAGACCTCGCGGGCACGGCGGAAGCTTTTTGGCGGCGACGGCTTTGCGCTTGCGGAGGAGGAAAAGGAGGAGGAGAATTGTTAGCAGGCTTAGGAGGATCGTCATGGTTGCTTTGTTTGGGGTTTCGCTTGGATTGTACATTGTTTGCTATTTTAAAAAATTTGGGTGGTTTCTTTGAAAATGTTTCTAAAAAATCTGCTGCCAAACAAATATCTGCTACATGTCCGTGCCGTCATTCAGTCAGTTTTTGTTTCGTATTTGACTTCTCCACCTGCTAAGTGTTCCGTGAGATTAACTTGAAGCTCAAATGTAAGAAATAATTTATACAAAAAAAAAAAAAAGTATATCGAACTTTCTTAGCTTTAAATTTGTGTTTTCTGATGGCCCAGATTTCTTTTTTTACTGAAATTGCATGGTAAAAAATGAGTTTAAGGGCCCATTTGGCTCGGAGTTTTTGCTGCGGCTCGTCTCCCTCCCGCGAATCAATCCATCCCGTTTGAGGCGGAGTTTTTGCCGCGGCTCCGCTCAGTTAGGCAAAACGAAAACGCAGCTTGCTCTATTTGCGATTGTTTGGAGAAGGGGAGATGGAAGAGGTTTACCTTTCTCGATGGTTGCGGTTATGTGTGAAGTGCAAGATGAGGAAAATGGAAGTTTCAAATCTCTGTATATTGCCATTCTGTCCTTGCCTTCCCAGTATCCATATCACTGCACTTATCGTGGTTGCTCTATTTTGGTTCTTACAGGTCCCCTCTAATCCATATCACTGCACTTATCGTGGTTGCTCTAATCATCTATAAGGTTACTCCACCTTTTACTTTTACCTCTTGCTTCCTGCATTTGTTTTATACTGCTTCGGAATGCTCTGTAATTTAGCTGTTTGTTGAATTGTAGAGAATTGCTATTTCAGATTTTGTTTCAGGTTTTGCACAGAATCTCTTCTTCATCTTCTCCGTCCCTTAATTTGACTTGTCGGTGAGGCCTCTATAGATAGGATTTTATATGAAAATATTCCTTTTTTTATAGATGAGGGTGGGGGTGCATTTAGATACATACCACCCAAGTTCTATGTATTTTTATATTTCACTAAAAAGGGACAAAATGATCATTTTTGTAGAAACAACTACCTCACAGTTGTTTTCACATTTGCAACAAACATACAGTCGGCTTCCCCGCAGCAGCTTCCCTACAGTAGCTTCCTGGGGCAGCACAACTGCAGCTGCGTCAAACAGACCCTCAATGCTCGAAGCCGTGTTCTGAGATTTGTGGTCTGATTTACCAAATTTGAGTGCGCTCTAAAACCTATGAACTTTTTTTAAGTCCCTGAAACTCAAATTCACCCAATTATTTTTAATATTTTTATTACTATTTAATTATTTTTATTTTAAAAATATTAATGTCATTAAATTTAGAAAACAAAAATATTTTTTTCCAAGTAATAACTGTTATAAATTTAAAATTTTGAAAAGTTCAATGGTATGACTACAACAACAAACCTTTATCTCATCAAGCGGGATTAGTTATATGAATTCTTTTTCTTCCTATTTAGAATTGTGGTTTCATTTAAATAAAATAAATTAAGAATATTTTAATACAATATGCCAATTTTTTTTAAATTTATAAAATTTGAATGATATATATATATATATATATAAAAGACAATTTTCATGTATTTAGATTTCTAACTTCTAAGCTTTAAAATAAAAAATATTGTTATGATTAATTTTTAAAAATAAATACATTAAGCATAAATAAAGTATTGTAAACGTTAAAACAGAAATTTAATTATTAGATGTGCAAAAAAATTGAAATTTTGTGATATGTATTTATTTATTTTTATTTTCTCATGTATAAAGCCGCCGTTAACAAATGCAAATAATGAAAATGAAGAGGGCTTGTGCGGGCGAAGGCAACCCATGACCAATTGTAAAACCGGACAAAGCTTATATGACCAATCTAAAATCTCATAGCATTAAAAATTATTTTAGATGTCAAATTAAATTAATTCCATTAGTGCAAATCATAATGTTTTTAATATCTCCGAGGATTCAAATTCGAGCAAGTCTGGGCCTTGATCAAAATAAATTAACTCAACTTGGGCCTTATAAGTTCGACCTGATTAGTAAAAATTTTGAAGTCCTATCTTGAGTTAGATAGCCCAACTTTAAGAACCCTATACCTGTTGAGACAAATTAGGGCGAAGAAAAATAGTAATCGACACAAATCCAGAAGAACACAAAGATTTAACGAGGTTCGGCAAAGATGCCTACGTCCTCGGGAGCAGAGCGACGATTTTCTTTCAATATTCAGAAAAGATTACAGAATAGAATATTCAGCTCTCTCTTATGATTACAAACTTATGATTACAAACAGGTCTATTTATAATCCTAGGGTAAGCCCTGCAGTACAATATGTAATTCTCAAATTACCCCTGTACCGTATAGCCCCAACCCATATAACGTAACTTCTCAATTTGGACAGATTCTTTCGCTTCAATTTGGACAGATTCTTCTCCGCTCCACTCCGCTCCGCTTCGTTCCAGCGTCTGTCCCTATATGGTATATGAGCCATACCATAACAATACCCCTATTTAATCTACTTTGGTTACACACTTCTCATCATAAAATATATATAATAACGTTATGTGCATGAGGAGCCCATCAAATATCATAACCAATCATATTCATCATATTATAAATGAACTCATATTATTTGTGTTATCAAAGTGAATGTTAGATCATGAACCCACATTGGTAAATGCATAAATGGTGCTACTAAGATTTGTTAACCCTGTAAGCTTAGGCGATTCATATATAACTCGTTATTGAATTTTCATAATGAATTTTGCATAATATCCGTCTAATGATTTCTTTTTTTTTTTTTTTCAGTTTTGTTGATTTAATAACATAAATCACAAAAAGCATCACTTTCACTAAGCTATTAAAAGATTTGTATTTGGGAATGTCAGCATAAGGAGAAAATAGTGTAATTTGTTCGGACGCAAGCTGTGTTCGGACAATGGTTGCGATACAACGAAGGTTTGTTTTTTCTTTTTTCCTTCTCCGTGTATTGCAGCTCGAACAATGGACACAATATTTCTTCCACTATAAACTCCATGGTTATCTTAAATATAATGTATATGCCATTTTAAAATTTATTATGCATTGCTTACGTAGGTCTTATCAAATGCCTCAAACACAAATGAACATATCAAATTCATAAAATTTATGAATTTGGCTTTGTCCTTACTGCATGGATATGTCAAAGGTATTTCCTTTAAAACATAGTAGGGCAAACAATCGGTTCGACTGCCACCGTAGATTTTTTCACCACGATCACCCATTTAGAAGGATCGTAGATGCATTCTTCAAAAACAGGGTTGAGAGATCAAGTCCACTCCTGGTGATTACTGGAGTCGAAATATTGCAGATGATCAGTGAAGTACCGAAGATCACCGAGAGAACAAAGCTAGATTCAATTTTTCTTCCTAATTTTGGTGTCACGCACAATTGGATTAAGTATATTATATTCTAGAACCTTTGGTACTGAAAGACTAACCTGATTTGACATAATCTTGATATTATGCACATTGAGAAGATTTTATTGATAAAATCTTCAATATTGTGATGGATATCAAGAATAAGACAAAAGATAATGTGAAAGCTGAAATGAACCTGAGAGAATGTTGCAAAATGATGGCATTAGAACTTCAGGAGACAAATGAATGTAAATTAATAAACCTCAAAGCTGCATACTGTCTTACACCAGATCAAGGAGGATAATTTTTGAGTGGGTGAATTCTCAGAAGTTTCCCAGCAGCCATGTGTCAAATATGAATTGATGTTTTGACTTTGGAACGGTTAATGTATTTGACATGAAGAGTCACAACATTCGTATATTTCTGTAGTGCTTATTACTCATTGAATTTCAAGCGCTACCAAAGTTAATGCTTAATCCCTTGATCATAGTTAGTATACATCTATGGACACTGAATGTTGACTCGCTGAAACATCTCAATACGAGCATTCTTCTATTATGTAAGCCTGAGCAGATATTTCCTATCAGTTTCTTTGACTCTATGGAGCATCTGCCTATACATCTATGTTAAGAGGCTATATTGTGGGGTCTAGTACAGTATAGATGAATGTATCCCTTTAAGAGGCACGTCTTTTTGATGCATACATTGCAAGTAGCATTATTTTTCACATTTAATAACCACTATATTAAATTTAAAATATATGTGCTGCATATTTAAAAAAATAATAATAAAAATGATTAAGAATAAAGCACGTCCTAAGGGATCGATCTCCGAAGCATGTATGTTGCAGAAGATGATAACTTTTTACTCTTCTTATTTTGAGCAAGGCCATCAAAGAGGTCATAGTGTAGGTGACATGCCTTTAGAACCAGAGTTATCTGTATATCAAATATTAGGTAAGCCATCAGGGAGGCATTATGCACGGTACCTAAGCGATAAAGAGATTCGGTCAATTGCATTGTACGTCCTAATGAACTATGACAAAGCCTAGCCATTTATACAATAATATCCAAAATCAATATTAATTATCATTTATTGCTGTGAATTTTAGTCATATACTAACTAATTTGAAAATAAAAAAAAAATATATTGTGAGCAGATTATTTATTAACAGTCTGAACAAGTAAGATGAGTCTCTGATAATCAAGAAAGTCGAAGCAGAATTTCCAAGAAGATTCAAATTTTACGTACGTAGAAGCAACTCTTCTAAACACATGTGCATAATATAATCATCAAATTTAAAGTTACACTGAAGGTATCTCTTAGTTTACTATAGGTTCACAATACAACCAACAATATCATAGATTAAAGATTACTAGATCTTGCATGGGTGTCTAATCACAATGTTACTACATGCAGATATTTGACGTAAATGGTTATAGATTCCATACAAGTCTATGGTGTGAATGGAAAAAGACATATAACTGTGGTGTCGTTGTTAAAAGAAACACACACACATATAACGAGATTAGCTATTACAGCCTACTTGATGAAGTCATTCAATTACAATATCCAGGTATTGCCAACTACAATATGTACTTATTCAAATGCTAGTGGTTTGATTCTGTTCTGAATCAAGGAATTTGAGCACTCGTGCCTTATGATAGCACTGAAGTCAAATTTAATATACAATATGTAAAGTTTGATCCATTTGTTCTGGCACGCCAAGCTATGCAGGTTTATTACCTTCAATATCCTGGTAGAGTAAGGAAAAAAATTAATTGGGTTGTTTTTATGAAGAATAAACAAAGGAAAACTATTGAGAGGCACAGTACTATAGAACCAATTCACCAAGGGAAAGGTATGTTAGATTTTAACATTCAAGGCGGTACAAACAATGACAAGTTTGCGTTGGAGGGTACCACGAGAATTTTTGAATGAGGATGATGATGAGAGCGAAGAAGAAATTTTAGGCTCATATTTGACGAAGAGTTCCTCTTATGAAACTTAGTAATATATGTATGTAATTTTAGATTAATTGTTCTACAACTACTTTTTGTCTTTTATTTTTGTTGTATTGAGGCATAACTTTTTAATCTTATTTTTCCTTATTTTTAGACATATCTCCTACTTCTGTTTTAGCTTTACTGCACTGCTTTTTTTAACTTATGACTATCAGTGCTAATCTTATTAATGTCATTCCCTTATTTGCAAATGACAACAAGTGGTGCAGGTGGTTAGTCACCTCAGAGACCTGTGGTTTTGGGGCACTGAAAAGCACCTACCGTATCAGGAAGAGGATGTTGTCTACTTCTGCCGCTGCTTCCACTAATGATCCCGCTCCCCTATATTCTGTTGTTGCTACACCTCTTGCAACAACTCCTCCAATCATCTTTTTTGACAAACGATCATGCTGTTATGCAGGTTTAGCTTGAAATACACCACAAATATAAAAATCACCTAATCATTACTCATTTTATAAAATGTATTTCACCAACGCATCTGAAATGTCAAAACCATTAATTAAATTTTCTGCTTTCTTTGCTCTTTTACTTTTTGCTCTATTTTTGTGCTAAAAGAATGTAGCTATCATCAACTTAAAAATGTGTAGGCTAGATGAAAATGTGTGTTTGTTCCGACGTACTATTACTTCAAGATAGAAACTAAGTTTAGTGGATTTTAGATGCATGACATACCTTCCATTGCATTCAAATATATATATATATATATATATATATATATATATATATATATATATATATGAGTTCTCTGCTGGACTCCAGAATACAAATTCTCTTATCCAATTGTATCATATGGTACTTTCTATTCTTTTTATAATTAAGGTAAAATGTGAAGAAATTATTTGATATTAGGTTATTATTCTTGTTAGGGTCCTTATCATGAATCTCATAATATTTTTACTCTATTATCATGATTGGATTTCAATTCTTAATATGCATCTTATGACTATATGAGTAGTAATTTTCATAAATATGAAAATGATTTCTCTGAGATCATAAAATTGTATTTGTAAATTAATTTCTGAATACATTTATCATTAAGTGCATGGGCTTTTGAGGATATCTTATGCCAATGTTTATGTGAGTGGTACTATGATATGTAACTTAGGATTTTAGTAATTCGTCTTAGTTCCATTTCATTTTGTACCAATTTTCTTAGAGAAAGTTTGAGCGCCCCAATATTGACGTAGGATGCATTCGATTTTAGGATTTTCATGACTCAAAATTTTTTGGGGGATTTACATGTATAACGCAGTTCTTATGTATTTATATATCTCATATAAAAAATTTCATATTTACACCTGTATGCCAAAAAATCGTCAGCATGAAGCTCGAGACAAACTCGAGGTTAAGATAAAAAGAAAATATGACTAGGTTTCCCTCTGATGAAAAGTTACCAGGCCTCATGAATCAGACCTGCCGATGGCCAGCCGATTGAAGTGCGATCGTCTCACCGATAGTCAGACGGCCAAAGAGCCACCAAGGCCCAAAAAGGGACAAATATCCACGCCAAAGACTGAACAAAGGTCTAGCACCTCTAATAATCTTACAAGTATCAACGCAAAACTATCTTAACAACTCCCCCAAAATTACCGGAGATCACTAAAGAATAATAAAAACAAGATAGGTTTGTAAATTTTACAAATTTTTTACCAAGTTGATTGGAATTCGTCTTCTGGGTTTTAAAGATAGGCTTGCTAGCATAACAATATGTTTTAGTTTGAACAATGCTTGAAGTGAGTTGTTAATGCCTAACAATTCACTCATAACAAATCCTTAAACATTTATTCTTTTTAGTAACAATCCAGCCAAATAGCTTGGTAAGTAGTGCCTAACATGCGAGTTATTTGGAATACATAAGAATTGCATTTCAAGCATGTAAAATTCCCAAATTTGTTGCCAAGTTGATTGTAATTCTCCTTCTAGGTTGCATAACACTGTATTTTTGTTTGAACAATGCCTGACATGCGAGTTGTTATTCCCTAATAATTCACTCATAAAAAATCCTATTACTTTTCTTCTTTGCAGATACAATTAAACCAAATAGCTAGGTAAGTAGTGCAGAATGCAACTTTGGGATAAGATAAAGTGTGTGCTTCTTCTGAACTATTATTCCTCCAATTTCTCTCATATCCAGAACGTCATCCTTCAATTCTTTCGGAACCTCCCAGTCAAAATCTCACAACAAGTTCACTAGGGTGCATTCTATAACGGCAATTCCGAAGTCTATCCCCGGGCAGGCTCTTCTCCCCGCTCCGAATGGTGTAAGTTGAAATTGTTGTCCTCTAAAATCAACATTGCTATTTAAGAACCTATCAGGCCAAAATTCTTCTGGCCTGTTCCAATAATTAGGATCTCTAGCAATTCCCCATGCATTGATTATTATTCTTGCTCCAGCAGGAATGTCATAGCCTTGCAACTGAGTGTCTTCCATTGTGAGTCTTGGAATTAGCAGAGCAACCGGAACGTGCAATCTTAATGTCTCTTTGATAGTTGCTTTTAGGTAAGTTAATCTGTCAATATCTTCTTGTTCAATAACTTGTTTCGATCGAAGAGTATCTCTTATCTCTCTTTGAACCTTTTGCATCACTGTTGGATGCTTTATGAGCTCTGCCATGCCCCATTCTAGTGTGGTGAAGGTTGTGTCTGTGCCAGCAGCAAACATTTCCTGACATAATTTATTAGAAGTAAAACAATTAGTGTATCTTGTTTGTTTATTTTCAGGTGTGTTTATATATATATATATATATATATATATATATTTGTGTGTGTAGTATTATTTTCATGATTCCAAGTCTTGGTGTTTACATTGACATTTGTGCTCTCCATTCATGTGATTATTACAAGATCATAATCCTAGAGCTGTATAACCAACGACAATGTTAAAGAAAAAGGGTACGAATCACCTTTAAAGGCAAATTCCTATGAAATTTCTAGAATGATTGTCTTCATAAATCTTTTCAGGTGTAAATGTTAAATACTTACTAGAATTAGAGCTTTAATATGCTCTTTACCAAGGGCGATGTCAGCATCGTATATGCTCTTTACCAAGGGGCGATGTCAGCATCGTTGGAATCATGTTCTTCTTTAACTGATAACAGCACATCCACCAAATCCATACATTCTTTGCTGCTCCCAATCGCATTTGAACTCTTTTTCCTACTCAGATGCTCCTCCAAAACCCGCTCCAACAACTCATCCAACTCCTTCGAAGCCCTCCTCGCTCTTCCCTCCAAACCAATGACCCTATCCACCCAACCCAGCCAAGGAAAAAAATCCGCCATTGGGAAGCTCCCCAACAACTTCCGAAACTCATCCAACATCTCTTGAAATCTCGTCTCCCCAGAGTACTTTCTCCCCAACGCCACCCTGCATATGATATCATTCGTGAGAACCCTCAACCTCTTGCTCAAGTTCACCGCCTCCGCAGCCGCGGACGCAGCGTGAATCTCTGCAATTAAAAGATCCATTTCCTCCTGCCGCAGGCGCTTGTACGATTGCACGCGCCTGTTGCTCAGCAGATGGACGATGGATATCTTCTTCATCATTCTCCAATAGTCGTTGTAAGGCGAGAAGGCGATATCCGTGCTATTGTAGAAGAGATGGTTGGCCATGGACGACGGTGGACGGTTCGCGAAGATGAGGTCTTGAGTCTTCATGACTTGTTCCGCGAGTTCTGCGGTGGAGATGACGACGGTGGGGGCGACGATGCCTAATCGGAGAAGGATGATAGGGCCATATTGTTTAGAAAGGGAGTTGAGGGATCGGTGAGGAAATGAGCCGAGTTGGTGGAGGTTTCCCAATAGTGGGAGGCCTGGTGGTTGCGGAGGGAGCTTTGTGGCGGCAATGGCTTTGCGCTTGCGGAGGAAGAAGTAGAGGAGGGGAATTGTTAGCAGGTTCAGGAGGATCATTTTGGTTGCCATGTTTGGGGTTTTCCTACGATTGTTCTGTGTTTGCTCTTTTGCTTTCTCTTGACTTCTGGTTAGGAAGTCTGTATTTATAGAAGAAATATTACAGCTAAATTTTCATATATATATATATATATTTATATATATATTTGATGCAGAAAAAGTGATATATATATATAGAGTTGTTAATGCCTAA